AGCAGATAGAGCGCTTCTTCCGTTTTTAAAGTTTCACATGATCTCAATTTTAGATTCTCATTCGGATTTAGATTCGAACTTTGAGCGAGCCATGAAATTAACTTATGAGACGTGGGATTGTTTTCGCGAGAACATGCGCCACATTGTGAATATAATGTAATCATGCATGGCTCCAGTCACTGTTCCATACGAAACTTTTGGCAATGAATGCCTTTTCCACGCAAATTCATTTTTATAACCATAAATATATTCATATAGCAATTTTTTTCCTTTTACATAACCGAAACTGACACTTTTAGGTAAAAAAAGAAAAAGTTTGATTAAATCCTTTCTAAACCAATTCGGAAATTTGGATTTTGTTTCCTTAATTTGTATTTCTATATAATTTTTATATTCCCAAATATAGAATAATAAAATTATTATACCTATTGCTATATGGTACAGTTAACTCAAGCTCGTATAACGACACACTTTTTCCTCTATAGCGACCAAATTTTCTAGAATGTTTCATAAATTGATATAAGAAAATTGACCTCTATATAATGATATTCTCTTAAGGAACAAAATTAGTCCGGATATTTGATGTAGGTTGACTTACTGTATATGATGAATGGGTTCGGGTCTATTATCCAAAGATTTTATTATAAATGGGTCTACATCCAGATTGCACCAATGATACCTTTCGTCAAGTAATTTTGTTTACTACATAAGTTAAATATAACCTTAAAACCTCTCAACATGTTATATTTATGAAACCTTTCGTTAAGAGAAAGGTCAGTGGCGAATGAATTATGTGACAAATGATTTATTGTGGCGTTATCATGTACATGTAAAATGAATTCTTTTTATATAATAAATATTTGATTATAATTTCAGTTTAATCCAACAAAAAAAATCTAGTTTGCGAATGGATTGTATGTAATAAATCAATAATAGGTAATACTAAGTATTACTATTATTTCCTGCATGATCTCCGGAAAGAATCAAAGCAAAAGCCCGAAGAAAAATTCCCCGAGCACCATTTTCATCTCGATCCATTACAGCCCCACAACTTCGGCACTTGTACATCTCAGATCCTCCTATTTTTTGAACACTCCCACACCAGCTGCAAGTTTTTGAAGTATAGGCCTCATTTTGGATAATAACATGGATTCCTAATTCTTCAGCTTTAGCTACCAGACGTTAGCGAAATTGATAGTGATCCCAACAGAGCATTTTACGAACAGTATATTTCTTGTTTTTCGATTACCATATTTGATACCTCAAAAGGAGGAATGATAATGGCATCAAATTCACGAGTAAAAAATGCAACACTCTTTTTATGAATTTCACTTTGCAGATGTTTAATTTTTCGTATCATCCGAGAAATTGCATTATCAAGTCGCAAGGCCTTTTTATTTTTACGTTTTGAATTAGAAGCAGCCAGCTTATCTCTTATAGAATGAAGATTATCCATATATTTGCATAAACGAATAACTCGTCCAATGTCATATTGGCCAATTTTACCTACACCTTTAGTAGGAGAGTACCATGTGCATGAACAGAACCATCCGCTTGGGTTTCACGGTGTTACCCGGTGGATTAGATGTGGGGGATCTACCGAGTAATCCGTGAGACTGTACGATCACGGGTTGTTTCCCAGTTAGTTTTCCGTTAGTTGATTTATAATTTCGTCGATCAACACTCTGACCCTTTATCGAGTTGATCGGGTTCTCCAAGTTATGGCGCTAGTTCCTGCCTAAGAAGGCAATTCGTCGGTCGCGGTGTCGTAGTTTCGTTATTTAGTGTTCGTAGCCTTAGGGTAGACTATTTTATTGATAGAGAGTGTGGGGACAGATCAATAATAATTCGAAGGAATGTATGCGTTTATTTAAGAATAATAGCAATCTTTATTTTATTTAATAAAAACTTTTATTACAATGGTGAATTATTTTATAGTTCTATTGAACTTAATTCTTAATTGTAATTCTATATCGCTTTTCTACTCAAAAGCCCTCCTTATTTATAATCAAGTTTCCTCCCACTATTCTCCACTTTTATCGCGTCGCCAAGACTAATGAATCATTTTTGTCTTGATTCATTAGTCGGCACCTTATTGGTACACCTTCATATATTCGGGATTTATTGGTGTACTCTATATCAGACCATCTTTCCAACGATGCATCAATCTGAGGCTTTGCATCGCTGCATCCGGTTTGCATATACTAACTTCACTAACCCCGTGCATTACTAATTTCCGTGCTCAATATCACGCGGATCGGGATCTACGTGATGACGTAGTCCAATTCCAGGCTACGGTGCATCAACGAAGGCTGTTTTTAAATCCATGAAAATTTCCATTCATTAGTTTTACGAATATATGTGATTTTACAATCAGATGTTATCTTGTGAGGAACAGGCCAGGCCACTTATTATTGCAACTTTTTTTTCAAAATGAAGAGGCTACAAATCACATTTATCATGATTCAAAATGACAACAGGCTTATGGCGATGTATAGAAAGCATTGATGGATTGTGAAGATAGGTGACATAAAACGATTCCATATGGATTTCGAAAAATTTTATGAACGAATTGTTATTGTTTGTCGCAAATCTTTTCGAAATCGAAATGATAAAGATAAACTTCGGTGATTTGTGTTTGATCCCATATTATCTTATCCTTAAAAATTAATTAAAAAAAATCCGAAAAAATTTTCAAAAATAAAAAAAATGAAACCAAAAATAATAACCATTCAATGCTTCATCAATTGCCTCATCAATAATATTTGCAGGTGCTTTGCCATATGCACCTTGAAGCAGCATTCCAATACGCACAATAGTTCGTACAAATTTACGTTCACCCCATACACATGATTTTTGAAGTTTCTTGTCCTCATGTTCATTATGTAGATGTTCATGTGGGAATAGATGTTAAAGTTTAAGTTTATCTTTATAGGTTGAGGTTTTACCCAATCTCGTTGTGATGGATCAATATGCGAATTCTTGGTATAGAAACGGCGGTCAACTGCATTATAAGCATATCTCGTCAAGTCCATCCAACGTTCAATAGCTGCTTTTGAGAGTGATTTGGATACGCTTTGATTAGCAGTGTGCGATTGAGAGTGGTTTCCAAGCGTTGTTGCTTGTTTCGCACTAATGTTGTTTTGATCTTTTGTCTTGCGCTTTTTTCCTAGCCTGGCGTTTTCGTCGGTGAATAGCAGCTCTTCTTCCTTGCATTTGGCAGATAAAGACTGTATTGACTGCAAGGATATCTTGGGAAAGTTTGTGTTCATCGGAGGTTGCATCGTCGAAGAGAACCACAAGTTTTGTAGTATGGAGGGAGAGCATATACTGGATAAGGTCGAAGGTGAAGCGGCAGAGTCGGTCACGATGGGTAACCACAATTTCTGACTTGTCTGTTCCAATAAGGTTGGTCGTTTGAAGTTGACACTCGATCCAATATCGCTGATGAGTTCGTAGGTTGGAAATCGGGAGCTGAGGAGCTGTTTCTGCCGTTCAAGATCCTCTTTTTGCTTGACACTAGAGACCCGATCATAGCGGAACCCTTTTTTGGTGGTGGCAGCGGCGGCGTTGTTATCGACATATTGTGAAGTCAACTCTGGAAAAATAGAAGATATGTTGTAAAGACGGGTATAGATACGATTGGGCTCATGAAGAAAATAAATTTACACGAAATAACGAATTTAAGCGTCAAATTGTGTTGAAGTTATTCCACAATTCAAATCAAATTACGTCAGAGTTTATAAACGAGGTAAAAATAAACATTTTCTAAATGAAAACAAGTTGCTTTTTTTTGTTTCTAATACAAACAAGTATTTTAAAAATAGATTCAAACCAGTGCCAGAAGGAGACGTTTTAGCTGTAATCTTTCCTTGCTTTAACCATCGACGCAGGGTGTCTGATGAGATACCAGGAGCTAATATTTATAATACGATACCAGTGACAGGCTAAATAAAATATGAAAAATATTTTGAATAGTATTTTAACTATTAAAAATTATTAAAAGAAGGAAGAAAGGAAAGAATAAAAATTGAATTTTTGTATTCATATTATTCATATTTATATAATTTGGTGTGGAGGAAAGATATAGTTTACGATTTTTTGATTTATATAAGTATTACATGTCTAAGCAATCATTGCAACGGTATTACCAAGCAAAAATTGAAACGGTATCGCGTAGAAAATAAGCTTAGTCAATCGTAACAGGTTTCGTCTGACTGTTTTCGTCACGTCATTCGTCATCATGAAAATAGTTTCGTCGTCAGGGTATCACTACTATTATTTTATTTTTGTCACACATATATATATATCGCTCTTCATATTGATTTCTCAACGCATTAAGCATACAACCTGATCATGCTTCCTTCAGAGTAGTCTTGAGCTTTTTCACGATCTTTGAGAACATTTTCAAATATTGTTCTCCAATGACTTACAACGATTCCTATGAAGTTAGTTCGAGAGAACACATTAATCAGTACATAATCTTTGATTTTCCCCTTTTAAACCTATTTCGTGACTTCTTTCCCAGCGTGGATCGGAGTGTTTCTTTGCTGAAACATCATATTTTTTAAAAAAATGAAACATATTATATTATGAAAAGGGGACGAAATTACTGTAGAGAATCTTTAGGTAAGCATTGCACAGATTTTTTGTTAACAGTCTTTTTTTGGGTTTCTTGTAAATGTGCGGTATGTTTAGACAAAATTGGAGTCAATAATAACAAAGGGTGTCCATGTTTGTTACACACGCAAAGGGCGTTACTTTTTGCGGCGGCTGTACACGTACATGTATATGATTGTGCCGATTTTATAATTTCTAAATTGTATTTTAATTTGAAACTTTGCTAAAACTTTTTTACACGCGGGCGAGTGTTGCAAAAAAAGATGAAGCATTACATGCTTTAGTAGCTCGGTAAACGGGCTGCGTATTTCGGTGGGTTGTGCTGAAAATCAGTGTACCTGTCCGTTTCAAAGAGACCGATACCTTGCACAAGATAAAAATTACAACAACGGAAAACGATTCTGAACTGTCAAACGACTTGAAGATATCTGCAACAACGATAAAGAAGGCAATTCAATCTCCGAAACGTTTCTTCGTGAAAAAGCTGAAAATAGACAGGCAACTGTGGACGAGTGATGAATAAATTCAACAGCCCCTGACCAAAACATGCTATTGACCTAAATGTTCCGCAAGTTTCTAGTCAACATTTTTTATGAAGAGTTAAATGATATGCTTTGATCATCGATAATTAAATTAAGTTTCAATCATTTAATATGCTGACTTTCAGTTATTCGTTCGTGATACCTTTGTTAAGATAATTGAGTCTAAATCGGACTTCAATCTCTTGGCATGCTCAAGAAAGAATAACATCTATAAATTGGTACAATCAAATCCTTTCAATTGATCAAAAAATTTTTTGTGATTGATTAATTACATACATATTATCACTTATACACAGTTACAGAAACAATCCACCAATCAAAAAAGATTCAATTAATCTTTTTGGTGTATAAGGAGATATGTATGAGATTTGTTTATATTTATTATTTATGAGTATAGTGATAGTATAATGAATAGAAATTAAAAACGGTACTTGCCAAATTATTTTTGTTTTGATATTGATAATTCCACATGATTTTAATGATTCATTATATTATATCTATATGAATGAGTTAATTTACAATTATAAACACATGCAAAAAATTAACATTAAAAGCGATTGAGCGATTTCTCTATCTTCCAAAGACCTAAAACTAATATTAGCAAATATCGATATTAGAATTTAGAATCTCCGTCAAATTAAATCCGCGTGAAATTATAAATTAAAAAAAACCTATTAATCCTAGAATAGCATAAGCAGTCAAAAGCGGCCACCGACATAGAGAATTAAACCAAAGGCGCGTATATGCCTCACGAGCCTCATTTATCATTTGTATTATTCTTTCTTGAGTTATTTGTGTTGTAGTAGTTGTAGGTAACGGCGGCGGTGAGTCTAACTTTTAATTTTACCAATTTCAGTCAATTAATTTCTTTATTAAATCCACCCAATTCAATTTAATTTTAAATAGAAAAATAATAAATACATTTCCAGCCTGAGTAGTATTATTATCAATTTCAATGACTACTGAATTATTTTCGTGCGGTATTGTTGTGGGTGTCGTTAACGTTGTTATTTGACTCACAATGCAATTATCCTTGGAAATTTCACTGTCTTCACTGCTATCATTCGACTTTGGATGCGATAATTGTATTCTCTCGTTATCATTATCATAATTCGTTTCTGGTAGTCGTATTTCTTCTTCTCCATTATTATTCGGTTGTGAATTTGATAACGGTACTTTCTCGTCATCATTAACATTATTCGTTTCTGGTAGTCGTATTTCTTCTTCCCCATTATTATTCGGCTGTGAATTTGATAACGGTGGTGCTTTTTCGTCAAAAGTTACCGTTGCTATTGGCATTTTATGTTCAATCATTTCCGGTTCATTATCATTATCGTTATTATTGCTGTTGTTGTTGTCATTTTTATCATTATTTTTATTATTTTCTAACTCCATTTTATTAAAACATTAAAATAAAAGCTGCCTTTTTTTTTGTCATAAAATACGAAAAATTTCAACGACATGTTGTCTCCGTAACTGGTGCCTATTAAAGCACGAAGGAACATCACACAACACATATAATGATAAGAAACCCAATTTTTCTATAAGATCTTTTGATAGGACAAATGTGTACAATATAAATTATATAAATTACACTTTAAAATGAATGATCGGAACGAAAAATCCGGTTTTTCTCCACTAACTCGGTATCATTATTTGTTGATATACATGTAATTGTTTTTGTTATTATATTTTTAGGAATTTATATTTTTATATATAGATAACTTACATCTATTACATTTTTGTATCGTAAAAATTTTGATAAGTTGAATTTATTTTCATATCAATATGTATGTATATTGTGCATGCACATGATTGCATGTACATGCACATGTACAATCAATTATATATGTATATAGTCAACGTTTGATTTACCCAATTCCCCGGTTTACGAATTAGCGATCTTTTCTCTACCCCATATTGATAACTATTAGGTTTGATCATTTGGTAAATAAAGAGTTGACTGTATTCCCTATTTTGAATGAAACAGATAGTGATAGTACATGTACTAATCGACAAGATACTAAATTAACGAAAAGTTCGATTTCCTATAATTGTGATTGATCAAGAATTTGTATTCATTTATTAAATAGTAGATTGAGGAATTATTCTATTCAAATCACCGAAATTTAAATTATTATACTTCAATATAATTTTGCCATTAAGTTCTTACCCTCTCGTTTTCCACCCAATGGAAATGACTTTAACAATAATAAAACCAAAATACACGTCATTAATCTCAACTACATCTTCCAAACATTTATATGGTTATATTTGGTGAATGTGTCAATCTTTTCTTACAATTCTTTACAATCTTTTACTATCTTTCCTTTTTCTATTATCACTTTTTCATAGTGAACAAGTAAACATGCTGTTAATGATAATTTCCTAAAACAGAATACATATTATTTTGTATTTTATTGTTTGTTGTACTACATATTATGATCTTTGTATACATATATAACAATATAATAATATCGATATCATTATATACCCTTATATATGGGGTGTGTTACAACAAAACAAGACAATGATGTCACGCAATTATCTACGTTTGAATTGCCTCAGAACTAATACTATCGTCAATGCCATTACGGCCATAGTTGCTAACCTGGTAGGAATTAATCAAAGCAGGGAAATCCGGTCAGTGGATTCTTTTACTTCCAAGAGCTGCTTACTTCTTGCTCTTTAGCGGCTAAGTCTTTTTGTAAGCAGGCTAATTCTTGGCTTTTGTCTTTTTTACCTCTGATTTCAACATAGCTTTCCGGATCTCGGGGTTTTTCGACAATACGTTTATTTTCCATAGTGTCTGAAATCTTGTTATCAACAGGTCGTGTAGTCATCAACTCTGCAGTTTGTATCTAGGAATAAACCAATTACCAGTTCGGAATCGTTGACAAAAGCATAATTCATTTGCTCATGAACCACATCATTTGGATACCAAATAAATGTACTTGTGAGCGCTAAGATAATACACCTTGCCAATCTGTTGACCCGAATCAGGCACATGGACATTTTGCGCCCAGTCACAACTTAATGGGCAATGGCGTCAATGTAACGTAATGATATCTCGCCTTTTCACGGTCGACGTGCTTTCCATGTTCTTCTGCCAACTTGATGTTTTTATTATAATAATTTCGTTCTAATTTGGCTTTGGTTGGATGTTCTTTAACAAATCTCGGGTCTCTTCTCTTTACGAGCTTTGAATTGCAAATCATTCCGCAAGCGTTGACTGATATCGCATAAGTCAGTTCGCGCTCATGATTTGGAATAAATTGATTTTTGAGTGCGCGCAAATTGTCATCTTCTTCTAGGTCAGCCAAAAAGTCACGATGAACGGATTTGTAGCTCGATAAAAAAAATTGATTGAGTAACTCGCGGTAATCTGTGGACTTGGGCATAATTCAATAGAAATCCTTCACCGTACTAATCACGTTTATATCGATGACTTTCACTGCGGCATCCTATTTATATTACCATGGATTCGGAAAAGAAGCTGTTTTTACCAAATGTCTTCAAAATAACTGTGGCCAATGCCAAGCATATTAAGGTAGGTTTTTTTTTGACAAACAGGTGTATTAAGATTTTATCAATAAACTTATGACCCGAGTTTTCCTATGTAGACGTCTACTAGCGCTGTTCACTTCTATGGACTTGAACTGTGCCATTAAGAAAATGTCTTGTTCAGTTTAGAGCTTTAAAAGCTTCCGCAATTCAGCAAATTCTTTTTTCGCACCTTGGCGGAGCAACCGTTCTCATATTTTTATCGTTTACCACATATATTTTTTATGTACAGTTTACCTGGTTTTGCGACAAACATGACGTTCAATTGTTATCCGATGAACCTCATTGCTGGGAATCTACCGAGTAAACTATGAGACTGTATGATCACGGGGTTCTTTTCCGCGATTCCATTAATGCGTCCGTTATAATATCGATCACCAAACCAATCTCCTAGCGAATTGCCTGACCGATTCCTTCTTTTGGAGTCGCTAGTTCCCATCTTGGAAGGTAATCTTTGATCGCAATACTTATGATGTTAATACTTTGTAGTTTTTCACTCGTACTTTTAGAATATGATAAAGAAATGTGTATTTTATTATTAAAGTTTATTTGAGTTATATGTTTTTATTACAAGTATCAATTAACGTTAATCTAATTAATCTTGAATTATTTCAATAACAATGTTATAATTTAATAATATTACTCTATTCGACGAGCTGCTTTAATATTGTAATTCGTCCCATTTTTCCAGACCCAACATCAATGGATGGAGACAAAGTAAAAAGCTACTTTTTTTTAGTAAGTCTCGATAATTACTCATTATGCGGATCCTGGATCATGCTAGCGAAAAATAGCAAAAAAATATTCAAATTTGGAAGAAAGGTCAAGTCAGAGAATACAGTTGAAAAAGAAGAACATAAAACTCCAATCCCCATATTCACATACGATTTCTCCCCTTTTTACCTCCATCAGGTCAAACTCTCCTCAAGTTAGCTTACAACATTATTGCTGTCAAGGCTCAGGGAAATTTCTCCGAAATCTTCGACTGCCAAGCGTAAGGTCTATTCTCTGTGTAAATTGCAAGATTGATTCTTCAGAAGAGGATATTATGATATTGAGATCGTGCAAACATGCCTTTCACCGAAAATGTGTTAACAATTACACAAACTGCTAAGTTTGCCAAAGCGAAACAGGCTCTCCTGCCCAACAGAGTCAAGATTTGTGTCTCGCCGAAATGTTAGAAGAAAACACAGTTGACGGGAATAGAGCCTATATCAGAGGTTGAGAACAAGGGTGCACAAAAGCGAAGTGAGCAAGGGATCAAGATGAAAAAATCCGTAGACAACGAAAGTGAGCCGGATTACAAGGTTTTATAAAAAGAACTATCCGCCTCTGAAAAGAACAGAGAAATCTGAATTTTCGTGAGACTGAAGAACCAAATTACAAATTAGCTTTGCGTTCCAAGGTATCACAAGAACAAAGAGGAATTCTGTTTAAGCGCTTCAAGGTGAAATACGGCATTGGTATTGATACTACGTAGCTTACAAGGAGCGAGTCGCTGAAATGCAAAACGAGAAGTCACTCCAAGAAGAAATCCGAGATATACAGGAAAATGCAAAATATCTTCCCGGCTTTACTTGCAAGCTGTGAGAATGCGAACCTATAAGGTAAACTATTTACAGTCAAACTCTTGATTTACATTTCAGGACCTCATTTAACCGTAAATTCGAGGAAATACTAATAGTTATCGGTAGATTAAGCGCAGGTTTAATATGGTAATCCGGGCCGAGAGGATCGCTAATTCGCGATTCTGTTAAACCGGGTAATCGGTAGACTGAATAAACTTTTCAAGGTTATAGCGAAGATGAAATCGAGCGGATCAAGACCTACATCGCTGATGCGATCTCGAGGCTTTCAAAGGCACAGGTCGCATACTTCAAAGTACTAGAAATTCGAGTTTCCGTTAAGGGTAGGGTCTTTTGGTTGATATAATATATAATTGATAGTTGACTCCGTGATCGACATTATTAATCAATTTCCAAAACCCAAAAAACTTTTAATATATATAGTAATGATTTTTGCTCATTGTATGGTAATGATTTTTGCTCATAACCTGCTTTGTATAGTAATGATCCGTAAAATTAACCAATAATATTGGTTGATTTTACGGATCATTACTATACAAAGCAAGTTATGAACATCGTCAGCTATACAAAGACCCTACATACAAATCAAAACTTAGATTTTATTCAGCGATTGATCGAGTATTGGAGTGGAATGAATCGTTACGTACCAAAGAAATGTGCACTTCCAATCAATGTTTGTAGAATAAAGGAGATAACTATTTATTATAATATAAGTAAAAACTGAAAGCATCGTACACAAACAGCAAAACGGTCACTAAAAATTGCACGAGAAGATTCCGTAACATTAAAATACTAGTCTTTACTTTCGGTGGATTTTTTTATGTTGACAAATGTTGAATAACAACTGGGGATTCCGGATGTGTAGGGTGGGGAACACGTCAGTAAATCCAATAGGATAACAATATAATAAACAACTATTTGTTCGAATATCATACAATGATGATAAAAAGTACGTGACCAATCTGAAGAGTTGATCAAAAAATCTTTACTGATGTTGGATTCTATGTACATAGTGAGGGTAATCATCCATACAATTAGTGAAATCTGTTATATCGAGAATTATTTATTATGGTTTGTATTCCATTACGTATATCGAGTTTTTATTAGTTTACATTATATCAAATATTTATTATATCAAGTTTCACGATTTTATTTTAAAAATTGTTATCAAACTTTTGAAGAAATAATATTTTCTGCGTTCTCACAAACACCTACAATTTTACAGCTGTGAGTCAGTACGGCTGATTCAGCATGAGTTCTTTGAAGATTAACGACTTGGATTGTAATTCCTTTTTGAATTAAAGAATCCAATAAATAAAGACACATTTTCTTTGGACGCAATCTTGTTTGAAAATGACTTGAAGGATATTCTGATATCTGAGTAAGATTTTTTTGTATTTTTTTACTTATAAAACATATCCACCACATCTTTCACAAGTCACATGAAGCAAATTGATGCAAATTATTGGTTTGAGTTATTGAATATTGTAGTAATGCTCTTACAATTCTAGTAAGTCGTATTACTTCTTCTGTAACATTGCACATATCAGGTGTATCTTTTTCCCATTCTTTGCAGTTGTCATAATTATGACATTCAGGAATTTGAGGATCAGGCCAAAGGAAAGAATAATATATAAGTTTTTGACGATATTTTATATATTGCATCCGCATATAGCATCATTCTCATTATTTTTGTTTTTTTTTTCATCCACTGTAACCAAATAGGATAAGTTTTGCAATTCTGTGAGATTGGAAATACTATAAGATAAATTAATAAAATAGTATATATCGATCATACAGTTATATTAATATTAAAATTTTACCTTTCTTGCCCCCCCCCCACTCAAAATTGTTAATAATGTACGGATATCACTTCATGAGTAAAATAATATTGCCTTAAATTCTTGACCTGCTCATCCAATCTCTTGAATATATTGTTCAAGATAACGTCATCTACAGTATCCACAGAAAGTATCGGTGTGTAACTAATAAGCATCATTTTTATTTATCTTTTACCACATCGTCAACACTATAATTTCGTTAGGTTAAAAAAATGGTGTCCATTACGCAGCTTAATGAAATTAAAAAGGGAAAGATTTTGGCGTACATAGACCACTCAAATTGCAAAAATACTCAGACACGACTTTACAATGGTACGCCGTTTTCTAAACAAATATAAATGAACCAGAAAAGTGAAAACTCACCACATTCAGGAAAAATCACCAGCCTTAAACAATCACGAAAAGGATTTACTTATGAAGCTAGTGAAAAATGACATGCATCACTACGCGAAATAGTCAACAATTTAGGTCTCATTTGTAGTTTATTAACCATTGCAAATGTATTGCACAACTCTAGACTTAACTCACGTATCGCAGCAAAGAAACCTTATATATCTTGGAAACACATATATATGCTCATATTAAATGGTGTGAAGAAAATAAAAATAAATCAGCTTATGATTGGTCGAAAATAATTTTCTCTGATGAAACCAGTGTAGAAATTGGAAAGCAGTTACGGCAGCCAAGAGTTTGGCGGCATTCTGAAGAAAAGTTTAACATTAATTGTTTGGTGCCTACCTTTAAAAGTAGATAAAAATCTGTAATGGTTTAGGGATATTTCACGAAAGGACCATTAATTTTTTGTGATGAATATAAAAAAATAACTGCAAATACTTATCTCAAAATCTTAAAAACTCAATTACTTCCATTCCAGAATGCAATTAGGGAATTAACTGGAAGTTACGCAATCTTTCAACATGATAATACGTCGATACATATTGCGGGGGAAAATAAAATCATGATTATTAATTGGCCGGTGAATTCCCCAGACCTGTGAAACCAATAGAAAATATTTGAAAGATATTAAAGGATAATATTCAAAAAAATGATAATTTTCTGACGATTGTGGACGAACTTAAGATTGCACTGAAGATGGAGTGGGAAAAACTTGATGTGGCCATTTTAGAACGGGTTACTGCATCAATACCACGAAGAATTAATGCAATATTGGAGTGCCAATTAAATATTAAATAAATTTTATTCTTTATTTGGTGTATAAATTGATGAAAATCAAATATAATTGTTTGTTCAATACTTGCAAGTTTTCCATGATACATTTCAATAATAATAGGATCAAAATTTTTTTGAAATGCATTGGTCATTTCATTACATTTTCTAATAGTAGCTTCATAAATAATAGCATGGCTCTCAAGATTATCTAGCAAATCAAATATAGTTTGGTAAAATTTATCTTTGGCAGCTGGTTTGGATTTGACTTTCAATGTAATTTCAGAGTGATGAATAATTGAATTTCTAATTATATTCATATCAGATTTTTCCAGAACTGATTGAATAATTTTCATATTGGCAGGTGAACATATAGCTGTTAGTATAAGCAAAGAAGCAGCTGAAAAATCATGCTTTAAAATGTCTAATTCTCTTCATACATTTCTTTTATATATTAGAGTTTACAAGTATAAATTATTGTTAAACATTAGGAAATTTGCATGATCTAACTTACTGAATTCTTCATAAAGAATCACATAATGTACTTTATTAATAATGAACTGAAGATTTCAAGTATTATAAATATTTTTTAACATAATGTGAAATTTGGTATTTCTTATATACTTTTCTAATATAATAAATAATATACAAATTAATTCACTTGCAATTTTAGCAAAAATTTTTTCTTGTACTAGGAGTAACTGTTCTGAAGAAGCATATAATATTGCTACTGATATTCCCATTCCTATCATTTTTCACTTTGTAAATAAAAGAATTGTTAAATAAATATATATTAATTTATTGAAAATTATTATTAGCTTATTACTTGATCATCTATTAATGTCTTTTGTGAAGTAAATACTATAGTTAATCTTTGTGATAAAATACTTATAGTTGCATAAATCAGACTCTTGCCTCCACCAGTTTTTAATATGATTAGCAGTGTCATGATCTGATAAAAAAGATATTATTTTTCACAATATTCTTCAAATTCAAAAAATTCAGTAATGATACTATCTATATTAGGTTTCCAATTTGATTCAGTTATTAATTATTGATATTGTATATTTGGTATGTTATTAAATAAGTTGTGCTTTGATAGGTAACCATATAGTGCAACAGTTCATTAGTGAACTTTTTTTAAAAAGATTGACATGTCACACATTTGAGAGATAATAACTTGAATGCAGTTATCAATGGAGCCAAGGAAGGTTCAAATTTGCTGTTTAGAAGTTCTTCTTGAGTTTACAAACCATATGGAACTAAATCCTTTAAAAGTAAAATAAAAATCAGAAACTATATTTAGCTATTATTATAAATTATCATATTACCTGCGAGTAATTCAATTCTTTTATCATTACATAATTTAATTGTTTCAATATTAAAATTTCTTTTTTGTTCTCTAATATTTCTGGATATCAAGCAAGTCTTCTCGTCCTGATTTGAAAAACTAATCAAATTGCCTGTTTCACGAACTGAATGTTGAAGTTCTACAAAACCATTATTGTTGTGAATAATTGAAAGCGCATGATGAGCTCGAAATGATTTTGGATAATCTATTTTCTTTTCTGTATAACTAGTACGTATTGTTGTTATTAAGCTTTGATGTTCTTTAGGTTTCATAATTTCCTTGAGAAATTCTAAAAATCGTTTGTATTGATTTTCATCTGCAAGATCTGGATTTTCTACGATCCAGCAAACTTCAGGCCAACATTTATTATGATTTCCTCGTAAATGACAAATCAAGCCTTCAGTATGCATCCATGTTAATTCTTCATCATCTGAAGTTAAAACTTGAGGATTATTAGCTCTACTAGATGCTGCGTAAATACATTTCGTATAAAAGCTCATAATAGTTTGTTCAAAATGTTTCCAATTATAATCTGATACTATAATAAATAGAATAAGCTTTATTTAATATTTAATAGCAAACATATAATTAAAATAACAATAATTACCTATTTTTGATCATATAATTTTAGCTTTGCGTTTTAAGGATTCTGATGTTAGTTCAGCTCGTAACCATTTATACTTTCATTCCATATAATTTTTTAAAACTCTGCGCTTCATTATTAAGATATGCATTACACGTATTTGTGATTGTGATGGCCATTTCCATTACCACAATTCCGAGATCATTTTACAAGCTTGCACTTGCATTATTCTCCTGGAATATTGTCTCATTATTGGATCGAGTACTACATGGACATAGGGACTTGAATTGTTTGTGAAATTTCAGCAGTAAGTAGATGGTTCGGCAACTTTCTTATTATTGGGATTTTTTGAAAATTCTGTGTGCAGAACATTTATCAATAGTTGGTTTATGACTACTATTACTTTCTTCGTAAATAACTAGAATCACTGGTTAACTATTTTATCTTAGACTTGATAAAGCAATAACATTCTTTTAAACGAATCAATTACTTGTGAGCCAAATGATAGCTTGTTTAAACTTTTGGAACTGGAACAAAAATGCTCGTAGCAAATTTTTGTAACCGAGATGCCGTCTTTTATTATTACATGGAACATATGACGTCAGTCAAAAATCAGGGACTAATGAGTTTATATACTCATTACAGCAGCTACCGTAATCCCTCCACAATTCTACTTTAGTTTAACACTAGGTTTAGTTTGTTCGCTATTTGTCTACGAATGTTTTGAGGTCTAAGCAATCATATGATTTGAATGTCATATGACAATCGCTAATATTGTTAAATTACAAGCGATTAATATGCCTTGACAAGAATTTCGGACCAAAAAATCTAAAAATTGAAGTATATATTTATTTAATCATTATTTTGATATAAAAACAAAAATGGTTAATATAAAAATAAATTTTTAATATAGAGAAAATTTAATTTTACATTGTATGTATGATTCTGTAACGCATTGCCAAGTTAACTCCAGTCATCGAAATTTGCACTGCTGCGGTACCACCAGGGAAACAAACATACACCGATGCATACATGTAGTAGCTCATTACGAAACGTAATAAAAGTTGACTTGTAAGTTATCTGAGCGAAAAATGAACTATGAGTGAATAGACACTTGCAGCAGAGATATATAGTTTTGGCAAACGGTGTTCACCTCGCGTTTGATATTTGTGACCTAAAATTAATACCAAATGGAATCCTCGAATGAAAGAAGTTAACAAGATTACAATGTGTCCATGTATATGCAAGAAAAAAATGGATTTTCAAGCTGCTGAAAGAAATATTAAAGAAGCTAGATAAAAATTTTCACATCCCAGGATTCCATCACTCAAGTCTCACTCTTTACATGTCTAAGGTCTATCTATATCAACAATGCCTATGGCTGAAACATAAAATGAATTACATTTTGCAGTTTTCATAATAACAAATTTCTTATTTTTGATGGGATTACTTTTTCCTTCTTTTCAAATAGCAGTGAAGTTTTTATTATATTTTTTCTTTTATGTTATTATCATTTAATAAAAAAACAAGTCTGCTCTTATGAAGTGCATATTATAATTACCATAATCTTTCTGTATTTAGTTTACAGCAAACGCCCAATTGTAACACATTGTGTATAATGAATGCGCTTAGTTCTAGTTTTAAAAAACATGACAATGAAATCGAGATGACATCCCACTTTGCTTATTTACATGTACTCTGAAGATGTAGAGAATTTGATAATGAACTTGAAAGATGACTTATTTGGAAAATGGGAATGCTTTCTATGGACACAAAGATCGATACCGCTCCAATTCATGTTCACCAGCGATAGAGCTGTACGAATGATCGTTTCTTTTAAAATCACAGAATATACAAACGATTGGCAAATGGTTTGGGTGATTTGAAAGTATTCATGATATTTTGATAAAAATTTTTACTCACATTGTATGTAAAAACCAATGATTAATGAAAAGATTGTGAATCAAACGGTTAACTGGGGCTAGAACTTATAAAAACTGGACTGATTCTGTAAATATCCTAATTGTATACAAGTATCCTTATAATAAGAACCAAAAAATCCCACAGACAGAAGCTGTATTTGTTGCGTGAAATAAATATTATTACATTTAAGAAAATCTTCACTTTATAGGCTCAAAGCCAGAACGTATTTAATGAATAGAAAAAAAATATCCCACTATTGACATATATTTTATAGTAATTCCTTATCTGTACACATGCAGTAATCGTCAACGTTAACGTAACGTTAATTGATTTTTCTTGCATTCCATTGTGGTCTAACGTATCTCTAAAGCTAACGCTGTGTTTTTTGTAAAGTAAAATACGTAAATTGAACTAATTTTTATAAATATTATATGATATGTACAAAGTACGTGATAAAAATAAATCGAAAATATACAAAATTTTTATAAAACAATAATATTAATTATACATATACAAATCTAGAAGACGACTATACCATTACCATAGTCGTCGATTTCCTTGACTTTCCAAAAAATTTATTAAATATTAAAACAATTCTTTTTTGTATCCGTTTCCGCTGCTGCTTCTTATTCTTCTTGTCCTTCTGTTTCACTTTCCCTAAGGTGTCTGTAGTAGTAACTTCTTGGGTAGAAGCATCATCAACAACACCCCCACCGACCAAAGTATCAGAATCGCCAGCGAATCTTGTGTCGATATTTCCGTCAAAAGACGAGGTCTTATTAGTGTTCCTTGAAAACTCTGCGATGTCGTCTGAATCGTTGTTCGGGTTTAATTCGTAAAGTTTGATTGTTTTTTGTGGAAGTTCCGAAGTCTCATCATTTGCTGATGATGCAGAATTTGTGTCTTTGAAAAAAAAGAAAGTTTGTTCAATATACGAAATGAAAAGATGTGTAATCTTGAAATAGAAGAGTAAGAAGACAATACATACCATCATCATCAGATACAAATAATGCACTATTACTTCCATCGTCACTCAAGTTTGAACCATTTCCAGAATTTTCGCTTAATAGCAACAAACTTTCATTTATATTGCAATTTTCGCATTTGTTGTCGCTATCTTTGATATTTTGATTTTCATTTTCGACATTGTTCTCATTTTTGATGTAATTGTAATCGACGTTGTCCGCTTCTTTAAACGCCACTGTCTCAAGCGTCTCTCGATTTTCTTCCAAGTCATTAACCCACTTTTTCAACACCTCATGTATTCCTCTAGCGGTCAGACGCAATTGTGGTTTTGCGTCCCAACATCTTTCTAACAAATCATTGATACATTTTGGAACGAGAGGCGTTAATGAACCGTTACCGCTACTACTGCCGAAAAGCGAGCTTAAATATATGATATCCCACATTAATAGTCCTAAATCGTATACATCCGATTCTTTAGTGTACAATGATTTTTGTGGACTGATTGCGAAATCAGAGATGTGAAATTTATTATTTTTCTTATCCCATAAAATATTTCCACAATGGAGATTTCCGTGTACATATGAATTATTATGTAGAAAGTTTAACTCCCAGCTTATTTGTTTGCATATCTTCAATCTGTTTAGCCAGTTCATTTTTTCGTATTCTTTTGGCGGTTGTCTGAGAAAATCCCGTAAGTTACCGCCACTTGCGAGTTGGCTTACCAGAATTATATAACTTTTTCCAGGACTCTCTGAAATGCCAAAACAACGTAATAATCCACCAGATTTCCAATGTTTATAATAAATTTCCAGCTACAAACCAACCAACACAAACCCGTTTTAGCATAAGAAAGAACCCACCAAAATAATTCAAATTAATTACCTTTCTCAATAACTCTCGATTAATCTCCACTGAACCTTGATCAAATACTTTAAGCGCCACATCAACAGGTCCACTTCTCCGTCTCTTCCAAACACCATTCTCATTCATCGTCACCCTTGCACCATTCGAATACACAGCCGAAAATACACTACTAAATCTTCCACTCCCCACATACTTTACATCGGCAAATTCGTGAAACGGGATATATTCCAAATACTCGTCATACGATTCACTTTTCCGCAGTGCCTCCTTTACAAAGTGTTCAATTAGTTGGTTGTCGGTTGAGATTCTTTTCGAATTTTTATTGGTATCAAGAATTTCAGGGTCGCAGGTTTGACACCATGCGATGCTGGTATTGAATCGATTACACGTTGAGCATGTACCGTAGTATTCGACTCGTAGAAAACTGTAAATATCATCGTCATCCAAGAATTCCCGCTCGAATAAAGATGAGGGTGATGAATGATTATTTTCGTAGTCCAGACTTATAAATGAAAGTGTGTCGGTTTCAATGCAATTATCATCATCGAGCAACGTGCTCTCTTCGTGCATTTGAGAACCTGATATAATTGAGTTTTTATTCATTTTTAGTTTGTTAACGTGAGATATGTATTATCTTGGTACTTATATAAGCCATTGTCCAAGTGATCAACCATGATATTTTCCATGTATAGAGCAAAATACTCGGCCCGTTCCATATTAAAATGGTAGCTCATAGTTGTAAATCTTGTCAAACAAAAACACCTTAAACATCTTTCTAACACATGAGGAGACCATCGTTGTGTTCAAGGCGATCATGAGTCAATTAGAATTAGTGCATTATTATTTGTATCCAGTTATTTTTATATCTTAAATCATTTCATTGTTTGTCATGTTAATAAAAGAATGCACCCTAACTAAAAGAAGTAAAGTGGATTACCATATAATTCCTTTGCGTCAGTCTTTGTGTGGCACTATTGCTATAAACATGCATCGTATGTATCGAATAATGATCATATAAAAACTGACGACGCTTCCATTGGTGAAATTATTTCAGAATTAATAACGATAATAAGTGGCTAGATGTATGCAGGCATTCTGAAATAATGAATATGTATGTACATATCGATATACATGTCCTAGCAGATATTTTTACATCACCTGGCTATGCGTGAACATTTTCTTAAATATATATATTATCGTTATGAGAATATCTGTAAATTGCAGTAACCTCGAGATGATAGCTTTGATTGATATTATAAGAGTTAGTTCTTCAAGGTTTCGAGGATAATAAATGGGAAAATACGTGTACGTAAATAATAAATAAAGTTAAATTAGCCTATAACGAGAACGACAAATGATATCCTATTGTATATCTCTAATTTCGAATCAGTAATGTTTTATTGTCATCGTTATTGATTGAGCGTAAAAAACACAAAAGTTTGTTATATTATAAACAGAGCAGCATACATGCAAAATAATAGAGATGTAACCGAATTGACAAAGTCCAAAACAACAAAACAAAAGTTTAATATATTGTAAAAAAAGAACAGTTTATATAAGCAAGTGTGAAATTTCTGAAATTTTGTTTTGTTTCTTTCTCACATTGACGTTCTTTCCCGAAATATTCTCTACCTAACCTTTATCTAAATCTTAATTATCTACCTTTACCATTACCTTCTATTCTCTATTTCTTTCTTTATTCTATTCGACGCTCGCATAACATTATTATATTTTCACTCATCTTTAAGCAAAAACAATTAATCATAAAATTGAGAAAAACGATGTCGAGCACTTTATTTCAAGATAACATTAGCATTGACAAGGACAACTTTACGCCTTTGTCGTACTTATCCTCGTCACCGTCCTCTTCTTCCAACCTCCCTACTACCAACAGACGAAAAAGAAACTCGATATGTTATGGTGATCGGTACAGTATTGCTTATGTTTTTTTTGTGTCATGTTTATCGTCAGTCATTCTCAAGAAATTTTTTGCTATCACCAGATTCATTCCTCTAAGATACAATGAAATGTTTACGGAATTCGAAAGAATGCAAGGAAGAGTTGCCCGTCCAACCGCAAAAAAACAAAAAAAAAGTATTCTAGAATCTGAGGAACAAGTTAAAGGTAATTCATCTTTCGTAAATTAAAAATCATTGACAAATTTACCAAACCAGCATTCGCTTACAATATAATAATGATAAAAATATCCAGCCGAATTAGAATCCATTAGAATGGACATCCTCGAAAAAGCAATGTTTCCCGGTACCAACAACTATAACATTGATAACTTATCTCGAAGCAATATCGGCGACAGTACATTATCATCGTCTTCTTCGTCTTCCTCCTTGAACAACTTATTCTCCTTTCGCTCAAAGGTCAATAATACTACTGGTGGCGCTGCAGCAATAGACACACCATTCCGACCAGCTTACTGGACTACGCCCTTCTCGCCCCAAATTGAAACCATTCTAAAAACTTCCCGCAAACCATTCCGAATTGTTAACTCGAGTCCTTATCAGATGTTAGCTTTCTGCGACGAATTGACGTTAAAGGTAATAAAATAATCCATCTTGACGTTAATAATCTTGTTATTCTATTAACTATTTCCCATCTGTAAAATAGGATGATTTTTACCTTAACGTAGTCGATTGGTCTGCGAAAAATGTTCTTGCGTTGGGATTAGAGCATAGCGTGTATTTATGGGATGCTAGTTCTTCACAGGTATTCTATTGTTTTATTTCATTCGAGATATCTTATTTAACCTACATTTACGCAACGTAAATATAGATGACGAAACTCTGCGAACTAGAAGAGTCTAGTGCTATAACTTCAGTAAAATGGAGTCTTCAAGTAAAATCGTTTCTATACGTATATTATATATATATTCGAATAACTAAATATTTTTCGATTTTTGATAAATAGGGTGAACGTCTTGCTATAGGCACAGCCGACGGGCTGGTACAAATTTGGGACCCTCAAAAGCTCGTTCAAATCAGGGATATGAGTGGACATTGTGCCCGAGTAGGTTGCCTAGCATGGAACGGCAATATTCTTACAACTGGGAGTAGTGATCGCCAAATATTTCACCGGGATTCGCGAAGCACAAGAAGTTATATTCAGAATTTGTCGGGGCATTATTCTGAGGTTTGTCGTTCGTTCATTGTTTTTAATTGCATATCTGTAGTTTGGGTTAATTATTGATCTTTGTTGTTGAAATAACAAAAAAAATAGATTTGCGGTCTTAAATGGAATCACCAAGGTGACCAACTAGCAAGCGGCGGAAACGCCAACGAACTATTTCTTTGGGATCGCTATAGTCAGACACCGATCAAACGACTTGAAGGTCACAAAGCCGCAGTACGAGCTCTCGCTTGGAGTCCACACACGCCGAATCTGTTAGTCAGTGGTGGAGGACATCTCGATCGACAAATAAAGTTCTGGAATACTGATGATGGAAAGTTGCTGTCAACTCATAATGCAAATTCTCAGGTACTAATTTCAGTTCCTTGTTCGTATGTTTTTTTATAACGCAAACAATTAATTTATTGTTTTTTTCTTTTACGGTGCATCGAAATAAAGGTCTGTAACATCGCATGGTCCCCTCGCTCCAACGAACTTGTCTCCACGCACGGCTGGTGGAAAAATTATATCGTAGTCTGGAACTACCCTGACATGAAAAAAATAATCACGTTAAAAGGTCACTCGACTCGCGTGCTGTACTTTTCGATGTCGCCCACTGGTGAAGATATAGTCACCGGGGCGGGTGGTGATGATAATACGTTGAGATTCTGGAAGATTTTTAATGTTCCCGCGAAGCCTAAAGTTATTCGAGAGTCGGCGTTGAATCCGGTGGGAAAAATTCGCTGATTTTATTTATTATTATTCCTTATTTGTTATAAATCAACTACCCGTATTTATAGTTTGTACATATTTGTTTCAAGTACTGTAGATAATATTGTATTATATTTGTATATAGATAATAAGTTAACTCTTATGACATTTCTCCGTAATATTCTAATTTCTTAAAAATCAACCAGCAAACATACATTCGTCAAAACTTTATTGTTCAATCAAAACAATAGTTTCAATTTATAGATATTATTCTTTAAAACAAAAATTGAAATAGCATTATCTCTCCAAAATGGATGCTTTCCCGTTGATCAGAGATTGAGATACAGAAGCTGGTCTTTTTCTGTCATTTCCCCCGCGAACAAGAGACTTTTGCTTTTCTTCTATATAAGATGGCCTCAAAAGAGTAATAGTGTCAGTATTCGCAGAGGTTATCAAGACTTGAAAGGAAAGGAAATAATATCGTAATCTAAAAGAACGTTACAAAACTACGAAGCAACAATTCAAAAAGGTAAAAATCTTTCCCTAACCAGTTTAAAAAAAAATGGTGCAATCAAATACGTTCCTGTATGCGTCATTTAAAGACTCACCACGATCTAACTTGTAGGTTCGAGCCGTCCTAATCAGCATGAAGATCAAAAATTGTGTATCACGAAAGGATAATTTGTGTTATCGTCTGCTTTAAGGTATGCAGAGCATAGTGTTGTCAACTAGCATTACTAAATTACGAATTGTAACTGCAGAAATATTTTTTTAAGATTATCATGCGTCCCTTCATCACATACGGGTTTTTTGTTGATTCTCTCAAAAATGTCCAAACCAACACCCCTGCTTCCCGAATCTTTGCGTCGCTAAGAATGATACTTCATATTGACCATGGTTTGTAAATTTTTTAATGTTAATGCATTTTTTAATTGGATTTACCTGCACTACCGGTACATTGTCACAACAAATAGGATTTTCTACCAAACTAACTGAGTTTAAAATACATGTAATTAGACATTTGGGATTACACGTGAAGCAAAATCGTATGGGAATGACAACTTCAGAAATTCGTTTTTCTCTTTATATAATCATTCTTGTATGGTAGAGCTAATGAATTTATTAGCGGTGTTTGAATTTTATTTCGGAAGAAAATAAGATCCTGCTATCGCACAAAGTAAATTCAATTGTCATACTTCATTCAATGATCGATTGATAATCAGAATTTCCAAATTCAAAAACCTCTTTCACAATATGTTAGGTCCCGATTTTGAACCTTATATTAAGACTTGTGAATATTAAATTTTTTTGTGATTTCAAGCTTGCACTTTAATTAATGCCAGTGATGTTTGATGCAACTGTTGCTGTTGGAAAAGTTAACTTTGAATCCATTATAAGCGGTCGTCCCACTTTGTTTATAAGTCAATGCTCATTAAAGAGTTTATTTGAACGTCCGGATTTTATATCACTTATTCTTCGCCCTCACCGATTTGGCAAGTTCAACAAATTTATCGTTATCCATGTTACACTGTTTCTTTAAAATACTGCAGTCTCAAGATGAAAAATTTATCCATAAACAGCTTTTTGAAAAACTAAAAATTTCAACTGAATAAAAAACATTTCGCTCAGTACCCTGTCATCTATATCGGATGTGAATCCAAACTTATCGCTATAAAGAGAAAATCGACTTTCTTGATGCAAAGGGTAAATAATAACATTATTTAACGATACGAGAATTTTGCGATCCGTGACATTTTCATCATCGCTCTAATAACAAATCAAAGTAGAAATGGTTTGTTTGATCAGTATAAAAATAATTGCCATAATGATGAGAACATGAGTTTAAAAAACCATTTGCAATTTCATAATATCCTTTATTATAAGCACATCCCATTGAGGGATCGTTGATATCGCGCAGATACAGACAACTCCACAAATGCAACCTCCCGGAGACTGATAATGAGCATGCAAAGAATTTGAGATTAATACATGTATAATGCAAAAATACATGCTATTAGTTAATCATGCATTACATTATTTGAAGTTTTCTTTAATACACAGTGAATCTGGATATAACGAAACCTGGATAAAACGAATTTTATAATGAAGTTTTCTGATGCACAATATTTTTTTTAATATAATTTTCTATCTGAATATGACGAAAACCTGGTTATGCTGAAAAAAATAGGTGGAACGGACCACTTCATTATATCCAGGTTCACTGTGTACATATATAGTGCAAAAATACATGCTATTAGTTAATTATGCATTATATTATTTTAAGTTTTCTTTAATTACATACACGTATATATTAATTTCTTCAATATACATGTACTCAAAAAAACAAATATAAAATAATTGTGAATATTAAAAGTAAAGTTTTAGAATCAATTGCATAATTCCATGATTTGAACTTCAATTTAAAATATTTATATAATAAGTTCTTTATATTTCAGTAACACTTTTCATATCATTATGTTATTTAAATATATATATATATTATAATCAAAATATATACTAGCCAATCAACATGCTATTTAAAATAATTATCAAATATAAAAGATTATCATATCAAAATCAATGCCAAATATATATATAACTAATATATAATGAATAATTTAAAACTTTATTTAAAAAAGATGTTAATATTAGAACTATTAATCATAATAGATTCTTTTTATAAAATCTATTTTAATTTATTAATTATAAATATTAATTATATTAAATTAGTTAATTTTTTTATTTTAATTATTTATTTTTATTATAATTGATTAATTTTTGATTAAGTGACTTTAAAAATATAGAACAGGTAAAAAAATAAAATAAATGATAATATAAATAATTGAAAAATTAAATTTTTTAGAATTGCAAAAGAATATTTTTATTATTATTATTTTATTTATTCAATCTTGCAAAATAATCAAATTTTTCATAATTAATAATAATTATTTTGATATACTAATTTATAAATAAAAGTTTTTTATAAAATAAACTAGTATTTGAATTTAATAAAGTAATTATTATTAAAATTTATCAAAATATTCAGATAATTACTAATAAATTATTTTTAATATATTATTTATATATTATTATAATATTATTATAATAATAATATTAAAATAATATTAATTTATATATTAATTAATATATTATTTTTATTATAATATTATTTAAATAATTATCTAAATAAAATTATTATAATTAATCAGATTTTTTTTCTTTTTAATAAATCTTTTTAATATATTTATTAATTTATTTACTTGTTTATATTCTTCTATTAAAATGAAAAAATTTGATACTTTCTAAATTTTAATATTATATTAATTATAATTATCTTAATTTTATTATTTTTATTTAAGCTTTTAATTTTATATATATTTTTTTTAATTAAGATTAAGTTTTTATTTCTAAATAGATTTGCAAATATCTAAATATTTTCAAAAACTTTATAAATAATATTTTTATTAGGAAAGATTAAAATTCTTTAATCTTTATTATGGTAAAAAGATTAAGTATTTTGATAAATTTATTAATTATTATTAATAACTTTAATAAATATTTTCTTTATTTATATATTGAATTATTTAAAGAATAATTATCTTTAAATTTTATATTAAATAATATATTTTACATATTAATAATAAATTCAAATTAATTATAAAAATTAAAATAATAATAAGTAAAATAAGATAATTTATTAAAAATAAAAATAATGTTATTATTTCTTAAAAAATTATGATGATTTAAGAAAAAAATAAATATTAATATATTAAAAATTATATTCTTTATATTATAATTTAAAAATTAGAAAAAATAAAAAAAACACATTACTTTTTATATTTTATTACAACTTGATAATTAAAAGAGAATTATAAGCATTTAAACTTTGATATTATATCAAGTTTTGAATTTTATATTTTAAAATATTATAATTTTGCTAACTTATCAATTACAAGAGAATTTAACTTGTAAAATTTATTAATATCTGCATATAATATAATAAAAGTTATTTTTATAAAAAATATTATATTATTAGTATTTGACTAATAAAAAGTTCTATTTTATTTATATTATAAATTCAATTAAGAGAATATTAAAATACTTATTTTATAATATAGATAAAAATTTAGTAATAATATTTTGATTTGCAAATACTTTTTCTTTATAAATTTTCTCTTAATGAATTATTCAAAAGAAAATTGTAATTTTTTGTTAATAATTTTGTCTTTTCAATTAATAAAATATCATTTAAAACTATTTTCTCTTAATAAATAATATAAATTTCTTGAGCGTCAATTTGAATTAACAAATTATAATATTTTATCTTTTGATTTATAATAAAATTCGAATAATTATTGATTCATTAATTTATAATTCTTCAGAGTGAATATTAGAATTTTTTATTAACATTGTTCATGTAATGCTTGCCAACCATATTTGGGTCATAAAAAAGATCTTTTAATCACATACATGTACATTGTAGTCTTTATTAGTAATGCAATTTGAATTTCATTGGATGCACATGATTTTTTATCGTGTGCCATTGCACGTGCAGAATACAGAGGGTGTGGATTTAGCCCTACTCAGTTTAGGATCAAGGCGCATTTATAGAGGGGTGTCCCTTTGTCTGTACATGGAGAGTTATCTCAAAGCAAATTTCAATTCTGATACAAAATAGGTTGGATCTCTGTCGAGCATTCATTAATGTCTCTTTTGTTGAGCGGGTAATAAACTGTTGATAAGATAGCCGTGTTTAACGTAAATTCTGCCTACAAGCATTTTTAACTGTGTTATCATCTCATTCCATGTTTCAGAAGCTAGGCGAACCATGTTAGCTAAAAATATATATCGAAAATTCACATCAATACAAATCTTAAAGCCGAACTCTCAATAAACTCTTTATGAGCATTGACTTATCAACAAAAGTGAGACGATTGCTTATAATGAATCCAAAATTATCTTTTCCAACAGCAACAGATGCGCAAACACAACATTGGCATTATTACCTATATAAAAAAGGTTGATTCGTTAAAAATGCAAGCTTGAAAATCGTGAAAATTTTAAGTTTCACAATTCTTAATATAAGGTTCAAAAATCAGAACCTAACATATTGTGAAAGAGGTTTTTTGAATTTAGAAAGTCTGCGTATGAAGTAAAATAATTGATATCTTTTTTCCGAAATATCGGTACTGGTTCCACATACAAGAATTATTAAAAAAAGTCAAGTTTGATTATCAAGTGAGACTTGTGCATTTTAACACAATTCTTTGTTTTTTTTTACTTTGCTGATGATTTGTAGAAAATTTGATTGCTATATAATATAATGAAAATAAATTATTTTATAATCTATATGAAATTTAATTAAATACTAACATTGCTTGGATCCCGGGTATTTTACATTTTACCCGAAACCACATGAGGGTTACACGATTCATTTTGCGTTTATTTATATCGTACCAGTACGTGCTTTATCATAATTTTCAAGAAACCATTTGACTGACTCTTGGATAGCTGTGAAAAAATCAATATAAAAAATTAATACTTCTCTCCCCACAAATCATCCTTACACAAGATTACCATCACCACTTACCAACATCAAATGGAGTGAATTCAAAATCCGGGAGATAACTCAGTAACTTAGCATTACTAGCCGTTTTTTTGAATTGTCCATCTGGTTTTGTTGTATCAAACTATGGAAAACATACATATATAATAATAAGTTCTCATTGAATCAATAGCCATACTTTAATTTAATATATATATCTATATATATAAATAAATAAATAAAGAATACGCACAGAATAAGATCCATCAAATCCCAAATGTTTTACAATTGTATCAGCAACATCTTTTATCGACACTTCGTCTTTTTCGCCCACTATGTATTATGAAAATATTATATTTGTTTAGAGATAATTAACGACTAATTAATTTGGTGGAGCAATTAAACCAACCTGATAAAATTATCGGATCAATTTCATCATATTCCCGCAGCACCCATATAAACAACCTTGCCAAGTCGCGTGAATATATGAACTGTCGAAGAGGTTTTCCGGTGCCAGCAACCACAAATGGAGTTCCATTTTCTGGATATATTTATGTATTATAAAGTATTAAATTACAATAATGATTCCAAAAAATATTTGAATTCCACTTACTTTTGGCTAGATAGCATTTATGAACTAAACCCGGGATCACATGTGAATCTTGCAAATCATAATTGTCATGCGGACCAAATACATTAGTTGGAATCACTGATGTAAACCGGTGGCCAAATTGTTCAAAGTAGGCTCTTTTTCGTGTAAGATCGATAATACACGCGTAAAAATGAAAGTTATTTATTTGAGAAATCAAAAGAAAAAGAAAATATCACTCACTTATTTTGTGTGTCAATTAATCTTTTCGCGTACGCGTATCCGAAGTTAGAAGGATGCGGCGGTCCATTATGAATCATTGTTTCGTCGATTGGGTAAGTTGTCTTGTCGGGAAATACGCAAGTGGATAAACACGACACAACTTTCTCTACCTTTAATTAAGTTTGTTTGATCATATGTTGGACTTGTCAATTAATTTCCAAAATTTTTAAGATCAAGCCGATAATTTTTTCAAATAAAACTGCTCCAAGTTGACAAAAATAGTTACCTTGTATTCATGTGCAGTGTGCAAGACGTTGTCGTTTATAAGCAAATTATCCCGTAAAAAATCGAGTTTATACTTCATATTTTTGAATAGCCCGCCAACTAAAGCAGCGAGATGAACTACGTGCGTTGGCTTATACTTTTCAAAAACTGCATGCGTTGCTTCTCGCGAACTTTATAATAATAAATATGTTTAGGGATGCGAATATGGTTTAAATTTTATAGTTATTGGAGTTAGAGCAAAAGACAGAAATCTCAAAGGGCGTCTTTTATACAATTACCGTAAATCTCCATCTTTACTTGTAAGAAATATCCACCTTTCACCATCTTTTCGGCCGAAACGCCCATTATCGTTTTCTATTACCCACTTTATGGCTTGCCCGACGAGTCCGGAGCCACCCGTAACTAAAACAACTTTTTCGGTTGACATTTTATTCTATGTATTGAAATAATTCATTCGATAATTAAATTCATATCATTGATTGGCCAAATAAACCAGTTAGAAATCAACAGTTTATCCATATCCTCGTGCAGCGCGATCGAGTTTTAATTATTATTCGGTGTGGTCTTTTGAATTAGATCTGAAAGAACCAACCAATATTATCTTTTCATTAGACTAATCATTCGGTTAACTGGTGAAAAATTATACGTAAAACTGCTACCGCCATGGCGATGGTTAAGCCAAAAACAATAGTTCAGCTTAGAGAAGAGGCAAAAATAAAGCCAAACCCGAACTATCAGATAAAAATGTGGTTAAGCTCGACAAAAGCGCTTCTGGAACAGGCAAGCATATTTTATGATCAATGATTTTTGATATATAAACTGTGAAAATAAATGAGCTTTTTTAAATGTGTATGACCTATGTTGTCACATCTATCAATTAATTTGACTGTCGATTATTTATTAGGCAGAGGCAGCAAAATTCCATAAAGACTATGATACTATTTACACCAATTATTTGAAAATTGCTAGGTATATTCTTTGTTTGGATTTAAATTCTATTATTCTGATTACCCCCGAGATTTTCATTTTTTCACATATATGCGTGCTTACATTGCAGTATCATACTAGAAATTATCCCGCAGCATAAAGATTTCCAAACTTTCTTAAAAGATCCGACGTATTCCACTTATGAGGATTTGAAAAAGAATGTAAATTTATATTTTTATTTGATCTTCAATGCATCAAAGAAAAAAAAATATTCATATTTTCATTGATTATTTATATTCAGAAAATGCCTGCTGTTTTAGACGAAGCCGAAAAATTAACAGAGTATCTAACACAACGAGATCGCGAGAATGATAATGATTATTCTTCTCCCCAATCATCATCAACCAGAAATAACAATAAAAATGATTTTAATATATCTGCTATGCCCGTGCCTCACCCCACAGCAATTCAACAACAACAACAATCAAACTATCAAGCTTCTAACACATTATCGTCATCGAACAATAATACAGAATTCGGTGTAACAAAGTCCCCAGTGTACATTATTGGAGATCATATGATTGGTAGTATTACCACAAATGAATCTTCTGCGCCGCTTAATCCTACAATTGCTAATAGAATAGCTAGTTTAAAAAACAATGGAATTGTTGATGAGCCAATCAATAAAAATATTAACATTAATAGTAATGGTATAATTAATAGTAACAATACACCAATGGACACATCCTTCACCAAAAAAGATTCAATATCATCATCATCTCAATATGCATCTAAACCTTTATCGTCTTCTGGAATTTCTGAGCCTTCTGCATCCACGATGACAACCACCAGCAATAGCAACAATATTTCAAAAGGACCTGATCCCCTTGCCGGTTTTAATCTTACTCAAATCATCAAAGCAACGGATCTTGACAAATTTTTGAAATCCGGAGTTAATGTTTTAATTCTAGATGTGAGGGAACGAAAGCAATTTGAAGGAGGTCATATAAAGACGAAAAATATTGTTTGTTTGGAACCGATAATATTACATGATGGGTAAATGATTAGTATTTGTGCTTATTTATTTGATTGTTAATAAGCTGCCTTCTTATTAATAATGTAATCATATAACCCTTTAATGTTAACATATTCAAAGAATATCTTCCATAGATTTGGAGTCACGCTTGATTATCTCCCCGGAAAACGAAAGAACCTTATTCGATGCAAGGCACACATTCGATCTAATAGTATATCATGACCAAAGCTCGGTGGATAACCCTGGAATAACTTCGAAGTCTAATAGCAGACACCCTATGCGCAATTTGGTGGACGCTATTATGATAAATGAATATAAGAAACCGCTTAAACGTCCGCCTGTGATATTAATCGGAGGGCTTGACGGTTGGCGACGCTTGGTTGGCGATGCTGGAATTGAGAGAGGACCAGGAGCAATTTATCCTGGCATTGATAATACCGCTGCTAACTCATCTACACCTCCCAATGGTGGCGGCTTCAGAGAACCGCTTCTTCAGAACGACAAATCAAAAAGAAACGGAATTGTGATTCCCGATGCCAATAATTGGATGGAATCGTTAGGAGATTCGAATCATACCGAGTATGTGTTATTTAAGGAAATTTACGCAAAAACGAGTTTTATTATTAATTCAGAAAAATATAATATTCATATCATAATTAACGATTCATTTTTTATAGCAAACGCCCACCAATCACGAATTACATGGATTTAGTTAAGTGAAAATATGCAATTTGTATATCCATATAAATAGTATTAACATATGTTTTGATTTTGATTTTGATTTAAAGTTTATGCAACCGAACGATAATCAACAATCCATGCAATTACCAAATTACAATACATCTAAGTTCAATCAAGCTTATCCCAATTACAACAATTATCCATTAACGTCATCTCCTATTGTGCAACAACAGCCCAACAACTATTATATATCAAACCTACCTACCACATCCAAAGCCATTTCAAAGACGCCAATACCCGGACAAGCGAGTGATATCGGTAGTTCATCACAAGCTCAAGTCCCCGCTCAATCCCAACCCCAGCCTGCAGCCCCTATACCTGCCGCCCCTATACCTGCCGTAATTAAAACAGGATCCACCACTCTACAGCGACGTCGAACCTTTATAGATCATCCCTTCAATAGCTTTACTCGCGTAAACAATCCGGATTACAAAGCTCCTCCTCGACCACAAAAACCGCTGCCACCTCCGCCTTCACATCAAACGAACGAATTCTCCTCTTCACAGCAACAAATGGTATCAATGCCACCAAAAAATGCAGAAGAAACGGATCTAGACCGTAGACCTTCATTAAGGTCTGGCGGTTCTCATCAACGGTTCCCGAATTCCGAGAGCAGTTTCTCACAACTGGGATCAGGAATTGGAACAACCGGGCTCAAAAACCTAGGCAACACCTGTTTTATGAATTCCGTGATTCAATGTCTGAGTGGCACGATTCCATTCTCGAGATATTTTCTCAATGGCAGCTATAAACAACATGTTAATTTAATAAATCCCTTAGGAACTAAAGGTCAATTGGCAGAGGCTTTTGCGAAGCTTATTCGTTACATGTGGAGCGGACAATATACATTTGTTTCGCCAGTGACTTTCAAAGAGGCTATTGGACGCTTTGCGCCACAATTTTCTGGATCAGATCAACAAGATTCGCAAGAGTTCTTGGCGTATCTGCTTGACGGGTTACATGAAGATTTGAATATCATTAAATATAAACCCCCAATGCGGGAATTGACGGAAAAAGAAGAGGAAGAGAGAGAACTTTTGCCTTCGCAAAAAGTTTCGGAAATCGCGTGGGAGGAATATACTCGTCGTAATTGTTCTATGGTTGTCAGTCTTTTCCAAGGACAATATCGTAGTCGACTGCAATGTCTGACTTGTGGTAAAACCTCGACAAAGTATGATGCATTTATGTGTCTACAAGTGCCAATTCCTGCGAAAAGTTACGAAAAAATAAATCTTCACCATTGCCTGAACGAATTCGTCAAAGAGGAAATACTCGAAGGCAAGGATGCATGGCACTGTCCACGTTGTCGAGTTCCACGACGCGCCACTAAAAGTCTTATATTATCTCGTCTGCCTAATATTCTTTTAATACATCTAAAACGATTCTCGTACGACGGTCCTTTTAGAAATAAGCTCGAAACCGTAGTAGATTTCCCATTAGTAAATTTGGATTTGACAGAGTACATGCTCCCGCCGTTACCCCCGACTGCGGAAATTGGACTCAAATTGCAAACGGGTCTTGATAATACACCGTCGCCGCGACAATCCTCGCAACCATGTGGTCCACCTTATATATATGATCTTTACGCGGTGTCTAATCATTATGGAGGCGGGTTAAATGGCGGACATTATACTGCTTGTGTTCGTAATGGATATCGTCAAGAATGGCATAATTTTGATGATAGTCGTGTTTCGGTTTGCGACGAAAGTAGTGTTATGGTATGTCTATTATTATTTTTTGTTACCACTAGTTGGACCAATTACTTTCAACTTATTATTAATATAATTATTTTTCATTAGACACGCGCTGCTTACTTATTATTTTATGTGCGGGCAAACATACCTTAAAACTAAATATAATTGGTTATAGTAATACTTTTATTGTTATATGAAAATGATTATTAAACTTTGAACTTTTTAAAACAATCGCAGCCATAATTTATTTCGCACCCATCATTGTCTTTTCCCTTTGAATCCGCTTCCTATTTTAATAATATTCTCGTGTTGAATTTTGGTTAAAAATCTTGTTTTATATACTGTATACTGTAATATTATATACATATAAATTTAAATATATGTTTTTTGTTTGTTGTAATATAACATGAATTATTTCAACTAAAATCTCTCTTTCATGCGCGAGCTGATAGTTCTCAGATTTGCATAAACTTTTCCCGGAGGACTGCCCAATATCAGAGAGACTATTGCGTCACGTGCAATTTTTATGTTTTGGAATGTTCCCAGGATGTGAATTTTCCTAGATATAGTTTTTATATAATGATTTTTAACAATACAAATTTAATAAAAAAACGAAAATTTTTTTAAAAATACTCACGTTTCTGCTAAAATTATTCTCGTCTTTGATGTGTTCTCTATCGTGAATTTAACTTTTCCGTCCTTGCCTGCTATACGACCAATAGCACGAGATAAATGGTCTCCTTGAAGATTCTTAACTATTAACAATGAGCAGATATTAGTATTAGGATATGGCGTTATGTTGATAGTAAACGACGTACGCACCATCTTTTATTTCAAAAGAGTCGATGTATAGGTCATCTAAACGGATAATGGCTATGGCGTCCTATATGTCGTAATAAATTTATAAAAACTTTGAAGATTTGAATAAAGAATATAACGTGCCGTTTCTTATACACACATCTACATCAAAACCAAGCATAAAAGCTTTTACAAAATCGACACCTTTTTTTGTAAGGCTCCTGTTTCACTGGTATGGTGTGATGTCTACTTTATCCCAAAAAAATAATAATTCATTAAAAATCAATTTTGCTAAATCAAAAACAATATAAAGACACGTAACCCTCAACTCCACGCAACGACTCTTTGTATTCATTCGCACTTGCAAATTTAGGTGTTCTACTAATGGTTCGTAGATTTTCGGCCAGAATTTTTTCAACGGAGTGTATCTGTTGGGTGGAACTGAAACTTTTTGAATTTGTCGTTTGGTGCCCTATAAGATATGGGAACAAATTCCTACAAGGTGAATTTAGGTATGCCGCGTTTTCAAAAAGCTTAAAATAGCCATGCAAATAAACAGCACTCGTTTATTTATTTACCTTCAGGTCGCGAGCTTTCAGAGGTGCAAAATTTGGTTTCTCTATTTTTGTGTTGTTTAATGTATTTTCTTCTTCGTTAATGTGCACGTCCTCCATGTCCATGTCCATGTCCACTAATGGGATGGTAATAGCGGTGGCCTCGCTGTCAATGGACATTGTACTTCCTGAAGTTGTTTGCTTAGAGCGTTTAGTTGAGTCGGCGACGTTCTTGAATCTACCCATTTCCTATAGTTTGGTGTTTATCAAAATTCTTAGTTCCAAATAAAAAATTTTTTAATATAGAGGGTTTTATTATAGAGTCACATGACTTAAGCGTAAGTATGATAACGTGATCAATTAACCACTATTAAGAAAAATACATCTAGCTATTGAATTGGAATAAGAATATTATTTGACCAATATAGAAAATAAATCCTGCAGTTACCTTTTTAGTTTTATAAACTTCTTCATTAAGAAGATTATCTAATCAATTAAGTCTAATTTATAAAAAATAAATATTCTTGTATAATTATTTAAACTTATTTCTTATATAGTTAAAAAGCTTATATTATGTAGAATTAGAAAGATCAAGTATACAAGTAAGTTTATCAAAAAGCTTTTATAAAAATTTTATTTATTATTTAACTATTTGATCTTTTATATAAATATTCTTATTATTCACAAACTTATTATATAATATTAATATTCTTTTTATATTTTTCTTGAATTATTATTATTTATTATTTCAGAAATACTAGATTTAAAAATTAAAGATCAGATTTATTTGATGAATTTTGCATTATATTATTTTAAAGCTTTATCAAAAGTTAAGTAATAATTTTTTAATAAAATTTACTAAATATATTTTAAATTTAGAAAAATTATTATTAAGTATATATAATTATTTTTTTAGTAATAAAAATAATAATATAAATATTATCAAGTTTTTTAATTATATATTTGTATTATTTAAATAATATTATAATTATATTTTTAAAATATTATTATTTTTATTAATTATTTTATTTAATATTATATTATTATAATTTATATAATAATTTAAAAAAATAATTAAACAGATTTAAAAAGTAATTATATAATAATAACTAATTAAATTTATATGAAAATTAATATATATATATATAATATTTATAAAAAAAGTTTATTTAAGATTATTTATTAAAGAATATTAATATTATTTTTTTAAAATTAATTTTTTAAATTAAAATACTAATTTAATTATATTTTTCTTTATTATATAATAAAAATTTTATTAATTTTTATTAAAAGTTTTCTAAAAATTTTTTATAATCTAATAAATAAACTTAATATATAAAATAATATATTATTATCTTTTTGATATAAGTTATTATATGAGAAATAAGTATTAATTCTAATATATCAAAAATATATAATAAAAATGATCATATGCTTTATAATAATATTAAAAGAGTCTTTAAAAGTTTATTAAGAAGAATATAAATATTATTATATTAAGATTTATCAAGATTTATCTAAAGATAGATAATAATAGTATTCTTAGTATGATTAGCTAGAATATAGTCTAACTTCAAAATATAATTTCAAGATAAATATAATAATTAATTTATTAACAAGATAAAATAATAAATCTTAATTAAGATTTATTTTACAAGAGATATTTTTTAGAATTCTTCTTTAATTATAATTTATTTAAATGCAAATTAAGAATTAAACTTATAGAACTTAAATTAAACTAATTTACTAACTGATAAGCTATTAATTAATTATCTAATTTTACTAGCTAAAATATATT